AATCGGTTAAAAAAAAAGCAGTGTTCATTTATGTGTAGATATGAACTTTATGTGCAAAAAAGGGATTTGTCAAGTATTATTCCATAATTATTTTTGTTACCAGATGATAGAAATACAGGCATGGGTTTTTTAAGCACTAGGAACTCTGTACTAGGTTTCAAAAGAATGGAATTAGATTTGTTTTCTGGTTCTCATTCAGTTCCAGACATAATAGCCTTGTACTTACTGTAAAGTATAATAATATAGAGTGAGATTATGACTTGATTATCTGCAGTAAAGTCAAGAAAATTTATTCTGAAAGGTTTTGTGCTAAATGAGAGTCACTGACTGGTAGTAGTGAAAAGAGTAGATATGTCTGTTTGTTTTTAGTTTTGGTTGCCTTTCAATTTATGTTGCATGGCACTCAGGTTCAGATAAATGGATGAATTGCTAGAAAAAAGCGGTACTGAGTGGTTAGAATATAAGAGAAGAAAACTTGGATTCCTAGGACCTATTTTTGATTATTTTCACGATTCCTTGAAGGAAAGACTAGGTAAGCATTTTTAGATTTATTCCGTCTAAAAAAATAATAGCCTTAATATAAAACATAGGAAGACTGATGAAGATAGACAACCCAGCTTCAGGAGCACAACAAAACTCTTTATAACATATATATTCTCATATATAGATATATGTGTGTGTGTAACATATATATTGATATGTAGTCTGTGCTCCATATATTATCTCTTCCCTTGATTCTCTGTTATCTCCATTTAACATTAATAGATTCTGAGGCAGCCACAGCGACCTTGACTGCTACACTTGGAACTGCATGTTTGGAAGACTGCAGCATGAAAGGTGGGGAGGATGGCTCTGAGGGGAGCTTAGGAGCTTCTGTAGAGACCATAGACACAGTCACTGAGGCAATACTGGTCAATGATGTAGGAAAGAGTTCCATAAGCAGGCTGCTAGTGGGTTGTTGTGATTTTTTTTTTTTTTCTAGATACCACAAAGTTATGATTGAGTAGCATTTTCAGTAATATATTAATTACTGAAACATGTTTGTTTAATGAAGCTAAATTATTTCATGGCTATGCACAGCAGGGTGACTAAAGCTTGAAGTTGCATGGATGTTTCTTGCCAGTGAAGTGGAGACTAATAAAATCTTCACCTTCCTGACTTGCAGCCAGATGTTTCAGCCTTTAAATACCTTTAATCAAAATATCTGAAAGGAGCTGTTCAGTTCCAGTGTTGAACAAAAGCAAATTGAAAATTTTATCCAGTGTGCAAAGCCAGAATTGTTCTTCTCCAGATAGCATCAGTCATGCCAAAAGGGAATTTAAAAAAGGAAGGTTTGAAAAAAGACAGTGAGATAAATATGTTGATCAGAAACTCCTCTTAAGATATGAAAGGAAATATTTCCACTGATGTCAGGAACTCAGGCCACTAAGCCAAATTTTCAGACATGGCCACTTAAAACGTGTGCTTATGTTCTTGTCTATTTCAATGTGCTTTTCTCAACTTTATTATATCATTCCTTAAATCCTAATGGGATTTAATATCCTGGCTGCAGTAAGACAGGAAATGTCCTAGACACTTGGAAGACGTGGCTTGTGCTCTGAGGAGGATATAGTGAGAAATAATAGAAATCAAGTGTACAGGGTAAGAAAGTAGAAACAAAAATGACCAAGGTGATGATGGGCAGATCTATTATTATTATTGAGGTATTTGCTTGTTGATTTCTTTAATTTTAAGCCAATCATGACAGATTCCCTTACCCTTATCCTATCTCACCAGATTGGTTTTTAGAACTTTCTGAATTTACAGTAAGCAAAGTCATTGTCATCTATAGTTTATGAGTCAATTCCCAAGATTTACAATCATGAAAGCTAAGGATATTGAGTGTCCTTAATTCCTCCATGTCCAAAATTCTACTTCTGCAAATGATCAGTTCATTTAGAGAGGGACTCAGTTCAGCTCTTGTAATAATACTGAAAACAGAAAGCTTGCTTTAGGAAGCCAACATGGCAGGGATGGGGAGAAAACTCGATTATTCTACCTGCCTTCAGTTTTGGCAATTTGCTGAAGTACAAACTGTTTCAGCTTTTCCAGCCTTCTGGAATTTGATGAGGATGTTTTTCCTTCACAGAGTTTCTTCTTTAAATCAAGTAGGCTGTTCAACTCTTCAGTCTTTTTATATCTTTGGATAGAGTTTTCTATCTAGGGATAGAACAGGGACACAATTCACTTTTGCATTAGAGTCCCTGAGGTTTGCTGAAAAATACTGTGACTATGACCACTACTCTGAGTGTGTTTCTAAGGGCATAATCCATGTAACAATAAAAAGGATCTAAACTCCAGAGTGCCAGCTTCCAAATTGCTGATATGCATAAGTGTTTGTCCAGTCAAAGCTCTTTTACTTGCAATACCTAATGAGAAGTGCTGTATATTTGACCCAATTTGCTAGAATCATTACTGAAATCTTTTATTCAGATGTCACATCTACCTAGGTGAGAGGTACTCTGGGCAGAGAATGTATAAATCAGTTTTAATGTGACAGTCTTTCCTTAGGAGATTCCCAGCAAATCAGAAGCTGCAGCTACCTGTGGCTGCACATCCTCAGCTGGGCTTTCTGTCATACCCGGGAGCCAAATAAAACCTGATCAGCAATTGGACTTGCAATCGAAAGAGAGCTCAGTGCAAGGTATTGGCCCTGTTAGGAAGTATAGGCTGTCTCTCTCCCATGATGGAAAGGGAGTGAGAGAATCACTATTATTCTGTGTGGTCCCAAGCATCTCACAGGAGGCTCTGCACGTCCATTCTTATTTTAAAAAGACAGCGTCATGATGGATCAGAGCAGTATGATCTAGATGGGAGCCAGGCCATATTAAAGGCAGATAAACTGTCACACTTAGGCTCATGTTAGAATGTAATCCTGTTAAAGTTTCTCTACAGTATCACGTCATCTTACATAATTGAAAAGAAACTGCTCTTGACTGAAATACGCCTGTGAGAGAGAAAACCTTGAATAGTAGGGTAGCTAATCTTGCTGTTTCTAAAAAAGGACAGCACACAGTATAGGCTGCATTACAGTGTAGGCACATTTACCATTTGAATTCATAATGATAAGCTGCAGGACTTTTCAGTGTCTCAGACTTTATCTCCAACTGTTCTAGCCTGGAGGCTGATACCTGGTGATGCTCCAATAAATATAGTAATCTAGAAGTGCATGGTTTCTGGGTTATAACAGTTTGACTCCATACTGTCAGTCCATGGGGTTCCCAAAAGGAGCATTTGGGACATGTTATAAACTGCACAGCTGTGGCACAAGAACAAGCTTTCATATACTCCTGAATCACTTTTATTTCTGAATTACCTGAATGGTGCTTAAACTGCTGAAATAAAGGAAAAAAAAGATTTTAAACATGATTTCTGTTAACTGAAATTCTGTTTTCCTGAAATCCCAGCCAATGAGTTTTGATCTGTGTCAAGAAAATCTGGAAAAAATCCTGGTTATGTAACTGCAATTCAAGGCACTGAACTGCACACGTGCCTGGCATATGTCAAGGTTTATATCCTTCATTAAGTTCAAGTATGTAAAATGCAGCATTGTTTTCAGTCATTGAAAACAACGTATAACAAGACAAGAAGGTAAAATTTAAAAAGTACACTTAAAAGCTGAAAATATACATTAAAGAACTCATCTGTACTAAAGCTAACAAATTTGTTTATGTAGCTATTCACAGACAACTGTAACAGAATTAGAAGTATCTAACCTTTATGGTTTCAAAGAAAGTGCTCTTCTGCAAAACTGCTGTAGTTTGAGCTGATATCCTAAACCAATATCTTAGCAGATGTGAGTCTGTTTCATTTAGTGGAAAGCTAATTCTGAAGTCTGTTGTCAGCACAGTTCACATCAGAAACAATATCAAGATGATAGTTTTAGCAAATATATGCCTTAGAGCAGGGTATTTTGTATTTGTGGATTACCATACTTATTTAAAAGACTCTCCTCATAAGTAGCTAATTCACTGTAGTGAGGTGCAATAATCTGTCAGTGTGCATTAAGCCAGAGAATATACATAATGACATTACAGAAATAGAAGCAGAACATTCCAGAGTCTGGTAGGAAATGAAAAAAACAGAGTGTGATTAAATAATATGGCCCAGAGTCTACTTTGTCAGGCATCAGTGAATAGCATTCATTGAAATCAGTGGTTCTGCAAAAGAAAAAAACATACCTGAGCAAAAATTTCCAGTTAAATGGTTTAGTTTTAGGTTTGTAAAATGTTTTAGTTTTAGGATTTGAAACAGCCGTGAGAGGACGAAGACTGGAGGTACAATATGCAAACACAAGTGATAGATCTAGCCTTCACTAAAGTCATTGAAAGTCCTTCAATCACTGCAATGACTTTGTATCAAATCTATTTCAAGACTATTTAACAGTAATATTAAGCAATGTTTAATATTAATGCCTTTTTTTTCCAGAAAGTCATAAAGAACACAGCCTTAGGATAGTCTTCCAATGGACTTGATCTTCCTTATCAGACATTTCATGATATTCAGCTTTTTCTTTTCTTTTCTTTTACAGGCAGGCCAGATCCAACAGATAGCTGATATGAGGACTTTGCTGACTTCAGAAAGCTGAGTGTAACACCAACAGTCTTCAGTGAAAGGAAATATTATCCCTCCAAGCAACTCATACACAGACGACTTTTGGTAGCTTTAAATTAACCTGTTGCTCACCTGAAAAGACACAGCTATTGTTTCTTTCAGCACACATGGAGGAAGGCAACAAACTTTGTAACCCTGGCTAATAAGACTGTGGCTTTCTTGTCAAAAGTAGGAAGTAGGTCAATTATAAAAGGATTATTTTATACTTAGCCTCCAGGACTTTAACTCAGGCCTGAACACTGGACACAAATAGAAGCCAATTTTAATGACCTGAGATTTTACTACCTGTGCTTTATTATCGTTATCAGTTCTTTAACACTTTGGTACTTTATTTCTTTAAATTAGAAATGGGTTCGTGGACTAGAATGTGGCCCATAGATTGGGCTGTTCTCATGAAATCATGGCTTATCCTTTCCCTGGGGCTCTACATGCAGGTCTCTAAAACATGGGCCTGCCCAAAAGTGTGCCGCTGTGACCGAAACTTTGTCTACTGTAATGAGCGAAGCTTGACCTCAGTGCCTCTTGGGATACCGGAGGGTGTAACCGTCCTCTACCTCCATAATAACCAAATTAATAATGCTGGATTTCCTGCAGAGTTGCACAATGTCCAGTCTGTGCACACGGTCTACTTGTATGGCAACCAGTTAGACGAATTCCCTATGAACTTGCCCAAGAATGTCAGAGTTCTCCACCTGCAGGAAAACAACATTCAGACCATTTCTCGGGCTGCCCTTGCTCAGCTTTTGAAGCTGGAAGAGCTGCACCTGGACGACAACTCCATCTCCACTGTTGGTGTTGAGGATGGGGCATTCCGGGAAGCCATCAGCCTCAAGCTTCTGTTCTTGTCCAAGAATCACTTAAGCAGCGTACCAGTGGGCCTTCCGGTGGACTTACAAGAACTTCGAGTAGATGAAAACCGAATTGCTGTCATTTCAGACCTGGCCTTCCAGAATCTTACAAGTCTGGAGCGTCTGATTGTGGATGGCAATCTCCTTACTAATAAAGGCATAGCTGAAGGCACCTTCAGCCACCTCTCCAAGCTCAAGGAATTCTCAATAGTGCGGAATTCACTGACCTACCCTCCTCCCGATCTTCCAGGTACACATCTGCTAAGGCTCTACTTGCAGGACAACCAGATAACCCATATACCACTTACAGCCTTTTCAAACCTCCACAAGCTGGAACGTCTTGATATTTCCAACAATCAACTTCGGATGTTGGTAAAGGGGGTGTTTGATAATCTCCACAACCTGAGACAACTCACTGTAAGGAATAATCCCTGGTTGTGTGACTGCAGTATTAAGTGGGTCACTGAATGGCTCAAATTTATTCCCACTTCCATCAATGTGCGGGGTTTTATGTGCCAGGGACCAGAGCAGGTCCGAGGTATGGCAGTCAGGGAGCTCAATATGAATATGTTGTCATGCCCCACCACCACCCCTGGCCTGCCACTTATCATCACCCCAGTCCCAGCAACAGCCATGCCGACTACATTAGTTCCCGCCTCATCAGTTTCTCCCCCGAGTAGCAAATATAATCCTCTCACTCCCACCATAGCCACACTCCCCACTGTGCCTGACAGGGAGGACAGAGAAAGGGTGACACCTCCTATATCGGAACGCATTCAACTCTCCATCCATTTTGTGAATGACACTTGCATCCAAGTTAACTGGATGTCTCTTTTTACCGTGATGGCATATAAACTCACATGGGTTAAAATGGGCCATAGTCTGGTAGGAGGAATTGTTCAGGAACGAATAGTTAGTGGTGAGAAGCAACACTTAAGTTTGGTAAATCTGGAGCCCAAATCCACCTATCGGATTTGTTTGGTTCCGCTGGATACCTATAACAATTACCGAACTGGAGAAGACACTGTCTGTTCAGAAGCGACAACCAAGGCTTCCTTTTTGAGCAATGGCAGCAACATCCCCTCCAGCCATGAGCAGACGACTTCTCAGAACCTGGGCTCCCCATTTCTGCTGGCAGGGTTGATTGGGGGTGCAGTGATATTTGTCCTCGTGGTCCTGCTCAGCATTTTTTGCTGGCACATGCACAAAAAAGGGCGTTACACCTCCCAGAAGTGGAAATATAACCGGGGCCGTCGGAAAGATGACTACTGCGAGGCAGGGACCAAGAAGGACAACTCCATCCTGGAGATGACGGAAACCAGCTTCCAGATTGTCTCCTTAAATAATGATCAGCTCCTTAAAGGAGATTTCAGACTGCAGCCCATTTATACCCCAAATGGGGGCATTAACTACACAGACTGCCACATCCCCAACAACATGCGATACTGCAACAGCAATGTCTCAGACCTGGAGCACTGTCATACGTGATAGTGAAAGGAGATGGGGGTGTTTAGGACAAAGAGAAAAAACTCTGGAAAAAGTAATCCCCCAACAACAATGAAAAAAATACATTTGATAAATGTTACCCAGATGCATTTATGCATTTGAATACTCTGTAATTTATACGGTGTACTATATAATGGGATTTAAAAAAGTGCTATCTTTTCTATTTCAAGTTAATTGCAAATGGTTTTGTAACTCTTTGCTTTTTAAATCTTTAAAAAATATTGCTAAGTACTGTACAGGGTTGTACAATAAGAACCCAATGTCATGGCAAAGGAAAGAATTGCTCATTCTTCAAACATTAACCACTTTGCTGTCGAAGCTGTCTGAGGGATAAGTTTCTAGGTGTCCTGTAGTACAGGAAAATAAGTGCATATTAAAACAGGGTCGCTAGGAACAGGGAAAACCAATTCAGATAAAATGGGTACAACTTTCAGTCTTGAACCTGGCAGTTGCTGTTGAGCTTCAAACAATTGGAAATATTTCCGTTGCCCCTTGTCAGTTCTGCATTTCCTACCTCCAACTGAAAGCTGGAGTTCCGAGTGCTACCAAAAAGGCTACTTTCTTATTTGATCAGTTTTCTCTCAGTATACTTGGAATAGGAAAGCTAGACAGAGCTCAGTGTCAAAGTGACCCTGATTCCTATTTGCAAAAGCTACTCTGAAAATATCCCCCAATACTATATACTTTTATGATAGAAATTGTATCTGCTTTTCATTATGATGAAGAAGCTTTAGGCATTCTCTGACCCTTCTCAGTGGGAGATTAAGGTTATCAGTATGTAACAGATAGCTGTCATTATGTTACACCTCTCTTTAATAGAGCAGCATTTGTTGACACAGCATGTTCAGGTAAAGCCTGAATGAGGGAAATTCTGAGCGCTCCCAGATCTGCAGTATTCAAATAGAATTTGGAATCAAAAAGTGTAAATTGTTGAAAACATGATGCAAAATATGATGCCAATGGAAAAGTCACTATTGACTTTTATGGTTTAAGCCCTCTTTGGTTTAGGGGTCTGAGTCATGCTCCATATGGAGAAGTAGGAAAAACAAAAGACAAACAAACAGAGAAAAAAAATAAGATCTTTAAAAAAATTATTTATTATTGGAAAGTCCTCCAGGCCTATTATGAACTGAAATATGTTCAACATAACTTTTTTTTTCCTTCTAAGTACAGTTTGTTTTGTTTTGATTTGGTTTGGTTTGGTTGTTTTGTGGTTTTTTTCCCCATTCAAGTACACAGAGACAAACGTTAACTAAGCAGTTGATTAGCTGATGAATTTTGAGAATACATGTACACACTGTCCCTCTGAATTGCCCTTCTTTTATCTTAAACTTTTGGAAATTTTCCACAATGATCTATGCTTTATAAGCATAGGTGGGCTTAGAATTTGCTTTTTTATTCCCTCAAATTCTTTAGCTGGAATACCTTCTGAGTCCTTGAGTTTTACATGCACTATGCGAAACATCATGCTTGTATTAAAATGATGCTGCTCTCAAAATTATATAATGTTCCAACCACTCCATTGACTCCGTGACTGCTGAAAATTCTGGATTTCTTGCCAGCTCAGTGGTGGAATCCAATTCTTCTTTTCTTTCAGTTTGTTTGTTTTTCAATGTGGCTCACTTTCTCCTGAGCTTGGGGACAAGAAAAAGTTCACAACAAAGAAAAAAGAGAGTCAAAGCTTTCCTGAGGGTGTAGGAAACCAAAGAGAAAACTTTTTTCAGTGACCAACTTGGGACAAAGAGAAGTTGTTAGAAATGGAATAAAGTAAAAGCCAAAGCACTTTCACTGTGCTTAGACTTTTCACTTTATGAGACTGCTTATGTTGAGAGAGGCTTTTAATCCTTTCCTTTGCTCATTTCACTCAATCCATTCTTGAAACCCAGCAGTCTATGGGTGTGCAGTTTGTCGAATGCAAATCACATGATAAGACTCAGTTTCTGCAATGGCAAAAAGAAGCCAGTTATGATTGATGGCAAAGTACAATCATTGTGTAAAGAACTGCATCCTCCTCCCAACACCTTTTATAATCACATTTTGAAATTCCGCTCTATATTCTGTATATTTGCTATTTTATCCAGCTATAACAGGTATTTTAGGCAACCTGTGTGGCTACTGTAATAGTAAAGTCACTGAAATTTTAGTGAATAAAAGGCTGCCATATGATTTCAAAATGTGTAATTCTAGGTACAAATGTCTATGCAAAGTGTTTTTTTCTGTGACCTATTTACTGAAGATTATGATGAGAAGGTTGGTACTTCTGTTTTGTTTGTTTAATGTCTTTCGGCTGCCAAAGCCACAAGACAAGCAGCAAATAGTTGTGCTTCCGCACGCTTCCATTGCATGCTGGAGTTTGTTTGAAATTAAGCAGAGCCAGAGATCACCTTTGGGTGTGGACGGAGTATTTAATTTCACTGAAATAACTAGCTGTACATCTGATTTCAAAAAGCATCCTTTGAAAGTAAATGCTTACTAGAGTTTTGTAATTCAATGACTGATGCTGGAGGAATCTTTGCCCTCCTTGATGAACATCTGTTCCAGGCCTCAGAATACCATAGTTTCAAGATGAGCTAGGCCCCTTATTTGTAGCAAATGACTTATTCAGGGAGTTCAGCCTTACTGCAGGTAAGCCCACAAGCCCAAACGGATGACAACAAATGTAGTTACTGCCCTAATGGGGTGAAAATAGAAGGCATTCACAAACTGTTCATTTTGATCTCTGACGATGAAATGTATATATATATATCTGTGGACAATTGCTTACCTAGATCAAAAATCAAAATGATATTAAAGATAGCATAGTTTATGCTTCTTTTCAGTATGAAGAATAATATTTATATTGGTATGGAATAATGACAAAGTTTCTTTTCTATAAAAACACATCTGAAAAAAAGTAGCAAGCCACTTATATCAAAATTTGTGGATAGAGATGGGAGTATTATCTAAACAAAATCACAGTTGTAGTTAACCAAAAGATCATATATTTCATTTGAAGAATGTTTCTCCCAGTTCTAATTAGTATCCAGCTGCAAAAAAGTTCATGTATTTCAACATACAAGAGAGTTTGGGATGTTTCAAAGTGTCAGTCTTACAAACAGCTGAGGAGTCATTTCAGGTCACATCTAGATAAGTACATAATGGGCAACTTTCACTAGGTAAAATATTTGGAAAAAAGTCACCGTTAAAAATGAACAATGATCTTTTGACAATGTAGAGTTTAAGATTAGTAGCTTTTTCCTTGGGCTGTGTAAAAATGGGGTCATCCTCTCCAAGCATAAATATCTGACCACAGATGCTAGCTAAAGCCTATAGAGCGTATAAAAAATTATGAAATTATGTTAAAGCAGTATCACAACACTGCTGTGTCTAGTGCTTGAGTTCCCTCTGAAGACTTATTTATTTACAAACAAGTCCTTATTTTCACAGACTGTCACTATAACAAGTGTTCCTTGCATGTAGCTTACTGGCGGAAACCAGCACCTGATGAAGATATGGCCTTTGTGTTAACAGGTTCTTATGGAGACATCAGTGTTGAATTTCTTCATAAGAATATTTAGGGATTAAGTTACTTTGAACTGAAAAGATATTACCAGTTTTCCCTTTAAGCCAATAAAGGACTACGATGAATGTCATGCAAACCAGAAAAATGAAAGACCTTTTGCTATTTGTTACTAGAGTAGTTCAACTATATTTTTCTCTCAATCATTTTCTCTTTTCATGAGAGAAAATTTCTGCGTTTGAAAAATGTATCAATTTTAATTTTGCAGGCAAAAGAACTTTATGCATATTGTATTGTTGCTACAGTTTTAAGGATCTACATAAGGCACTTTATTAATGACATTGAAATGAAAGTTCAGTCTCAGCTTTTGACAGTGAAGTGGTTAATTCCCATTGAATTCTCCATTTATAGTACTTCTTCACCTTAAATTATGACATGGAGATATAAAGTCTTTTCTTTAGAACATAAGAATAATGATTTTACTCATGACTTATCTTTCCAGCTCAGTGGAAAAACAAAACAGAAATGAGTGCCAAAACCAAAAGTCACTGGCTCTGAGTCTCATCAAATCCTGCCTGATGCTCTCTTCTAAACACAGAGATAATCCTAGGAAGCTGATGATCACTCCTTCCCTGAACTCTACTGAACAGGGCACTTTGTGTCCCAGATAATACTACAGGCAATATTGAAGCATTTGGCATTAAACTTTTGTACAGCATAGAATGTCTTGCTCTTTAAAAGGACACTGGCTAGTAGTCCATTTGGAAAACTAGTACAAAAGAGATTTGGCAAGCTTTTATTATACTGGGGCTCTGTGGAAATGTGCCTCATGAGAGCTGAATTCTGATCCTCTCAGAAACAGATAAGCTACTAAACAAATTGCTACTATCACTTGGTCCCAAATATCTGAAGATGATCTTTCATAAAATTGATTTTAACTGAGACATGCACACTTGATTCTGTTCTGTGTTTGGTATACTTTCTATCTTTAACATGGAAAAATAGATGGTTTGAAGTCTGCATTATCTGTTTTCTGCAATCTGCCATGTTGCACGCATTGTTAACTTCAAAACCTCACTATACACTATATTATCTTGTTGACATATTCAGTAAAGAGTTATTTAAAAAATACAACAATCCTACTGTATTTATATGAGCAAGTTAATTAAAATACGGATGTGAATATCTGAAAGGGAAAAGAGAAAACCAAAAAATTTCAGACTTCTATACTTTCATGACTGGAAATATTTTCAAATGTTCTACTGTATGTCCACTGTCTCTTCAGATTCTAAAAGACAAATATTTTAATCTTCTGTCTCTCAAAGGGTTAAACCGTTTGTTACTTCAATTTCTCAGATTTAATCTTATCTTTATAGGATTATCTCCTTCTGATATGCATATAGGAAAGCACTGTAAAACAAGAGCAGATTGTATTCCAGTGTTTGCAACTAACAGGTACACTTAAGCAACTACACAAATCTATAACAAATATATATGTGTGGAAGCTGTGACTCATTGTATGCATAGTCATTTGATAAATGCATTTGACATTCATCCTTGACAATCTTAAACCTGCCTTTTACCTATTATTATCTATTTAATCTGTTTCCTTGAAATGAAATGTGATTTTTTTCATATTCTCCCTTGAAAATTGTTCTGGAATTTTCAGAACGCACAACATTCAGACATAGGCCTTAATAAATTTTTATATATCTTATACCTAACATATATGGTAATATATACAGTATATACATAAAGAGATGCTTTAGCTACTTAGAAATGAAAATTATCCGTCTTCTAGTTACATATACAAGAACTAATTTTTGGCTTTGCCGGAACCCGAAATATTAAATTTTACAAGCTGTGTCACTTCAAAGCTTAGAAATGTAATATTACTGAATGTCACAATTCCTCTATAAATTGTCTTATTCTCTGCCTTAACCCTGAATATCAAGTAAAACTACCAAGAGCTGCTGTGCAACACATCCACATCTCAGCCCTCCCTTAATATGCTTCCCTGAACCTGATGTTTCTTCTGAGCCAGATTAGACCCTGACAACTAAACCTTCTTGCCTTATCACAGAAAGGTGGACAACAGAGATAAAGTAAATGATAAACACTTGCAATCATTTATATATTTCTGGCAAAAATAATGGCATCATCATT